GTGTTTGCACTGAAGCGCTGTGTCTTCTTCTCTTGAATTGCATCCAGGAGGGCTGAATTACAGTCTTGCGCTACAGTGCCACATTGGTCAAACCACATTATTGCAGGCTCTTACATTAGGTCATTTCAGATCGAATGACTACTCGACAACAAAATTATTTGTCAACTATCTTTTATTGGCGACGTTGTCGATAATGTCGACTAATCGTTTCAGCCCTACACAGAAGAATCGTTTACAATAAGATCAATAACATACATTTACAAAATAGATTGAATTTCATGCCAACTTCAAGCATATTGAATATATCATTTAATTTAGCAGGAATAATGTTATTTCTCACAGACAGACAGTAGATGTGATTTTTGTTGACTTTTCAAACTGAGATGGCCCTGAACAGCACACTAGTGTCTACAAACCACAGCCAAGTGCTGTTAAAAGATATTTGTTTCTCAGATGCCTTGTCTTGTGCTATACATTCCAGTTATTGACTTTCTCCTTGATTCTTGTGCATACACATGCGGCACCTGAAGGACATTGCTACAAGTGCAATGTGCATACAGCTCAGTGACCTTGTAAAAACAATACACACTCGCCACCTCCACACTTCTGATATTTACAGCCTCCTTTGTAGATCTGCGCCAGAAACACGCACACATGTATGCCGTGCTGTATATCCTCCGCCCAGCCACCTTCCTGCTGTAGAACATCAAAGTAAACACAACCAGCACTTACACTAGCCTGTATAACAATTGTACTACATATAGCTGATGTTATTAGCATTGAGCACAAGGTTATTTGTCTTCTTGTCTGTGCATTAGAGATATTAATTCTCTCTTAAGTCTGGTTTTCAGAGATTTTTCTACCATTTTTTTCTCTCTTCTCTTTCCAGGTTTAGTGCAAGTTTTGCTGTGTCTAATCTAGCCTGTAAATTTTTCAGTAGTGTGTTAGTAGCTCTTTTCAAAATAGTGTGGCTTTTCCATTAACAAGCTAGTTTTTCCAATACGTGCATTAAAAACGCTGCATTGCTGTTTTTAATGTCATCGTGTATTGCATGCTCAGCCTGAGCAAGCTGAGGGAATTAAAATTCTGATTCTTGCATCGTTCAGATGGTTTATGAAACCATAAATAAACTGATTACAGTCCCTGGTATCATTGCATTTCTTTATTAGAGTAAAATGTTGGGGGTGCATGAGTTTTTTTTTTTATATTGGTATTGGCTGATATTGCATTTTAATTGTAAATGCTAATTTCCCCTATTTTTAAGTTTAGATTACCTTTACCTATCTAATGATCACTTCAAATTAAAATAATGTATTTTTCAATTTTAAAAATGGTGGAAATGGGCATCAATAATTAAAGTTGGCTTAAAATGAAAATTCACCCTACCTGTTTTCTAAATGCATGCTACAGATCTCATTGTGAACAATTCATCCATGCACGTTTCTTTAAAAAATTTGACATTGTAATTTTTAATTAAGATGTCATAAATCAATCTTCCTGTGAACTGACAGACTTTTATCTGGTGATGTATGCTGGACTTCCCCAATCAATTAGTTTGCACCTTTCTTACAATCGATTGCAAGCTTGCATTCAGATCAGCCTCCAACCAAACAAAAACCAGTGGAAAGTCCACAGCCTACACATTTCTTTCTTTTACAATAATCCATTTAACTCTTGTTAATATATTTCACATTACAGAAGAAAAAAAAATCCCACACACTCGCCACCTCCACACTTCTGATATTTACAGCCTCCTTTGTAGATCTGCGCCAGAAACACGCACACATGTATGCCGTGCTGTATATCCTCCGCCCAGCCACCTTCCTGCTGTAGAACATCAAAGTAAACACAACCAGCACTTACACTAGCCTGTATAACAATTGTACTACATATAGCTGATGTTATTAGCATTGAGCACAAGGTTATTTGTCTTCTTGTCTGTGCATTAGAGATATTAATTCTCTCTTAAGTCTGGTTTTCAGAGATTTTTCTACCATTTTTTTCTCTCTTCTCTTTCCAGGTTTAGTGCAAGTTTTGCTGTGTCTAATCTAGCCTGTAAATTTTTCAGTAGTGTGTTAGTAGCTCTTTTCAAAATAGTGTGGCTTTTCCATTAACAAGCTAGTTTTTCCAATACGTGCATTAAAAACGCTGCATTGCTGTTTTTAATGTCATCGTGTATTGCATGCTCAGCCTGAGCAAGCTGAGGGAATTAAAATTCTGATTCTTGCATCGTTCAGATGGTTTATGAAACCATAAATAAACTGATTACAGTCCCTGGTATCATTGCATTTCTTTATTAGAGTAAAATGTTGGGGGTGCATGAGTTTTTTTTTTTATATTGGTATTGGCTGATATTGCATTTTAATTGTAAATGCTAATTTCCCCTATTTTTAAGTTTAGATTACCTTTACCTATCTAATGATCACTTCAAATTAAAATAATGTATTTTTCAATTTTAAAAATGGTGGAAATGGGCATCAATAATTAAAGTTGGCTTAAAATGAAAATTCACCCTACCTGTTTTCTAAATGCATGCTACAGATCTCATTGTGAACAATTCATCCATGCACGTTTCTTTAAAAAATTTGACATTGTAATTTTTAATTAAGATGTCATAAATCAATCTTCCTGTGAACTGACAGACTTTTATCTGGTGATGTATGCTGGACTTCCCCAATCAATTAGTTTGCACCAAGGAGGGGGCTTTGTAGAAAACGAAGCGTTTGAGAGAGGCGGGGCATATAGGACCTACAATAATGTACAGTATTTGAAAAATTATGTGTTTTTTGAACATTAAAGCATGTCAACATATTCTGTTACACCAAATACACCAAATAATGATCTTTAAAAAAGCATCATATGACCCCTTTAACTAGATTGTACTTAGCTTGTTTTTAGTCACTTCTAGTGTAAATAACTACCTTTTCAATAAAATATCTTGGCTGTACTTTAACCAGTTATAAGTGAACTTGGCAAGCTACTTTCAAAGTGCTTTGCTTTTTCACTTTTCATTCAGCCATCCTTCTAGATGAAACAATATACCTTTCTTCTAGCGTTATCTGCTTTTATGCCTGTACAGTAACTACAGCTTGTAATAACTAGGTCAGACGTACACCAACTAGTCAGGTTGTGTTTCGTCGGTCCACTTTGCATTAATAATTTACTTAATCACACTGGGAAATCAGTTCGAGACATCTATTTATAACCGGTCCCATTGTCTCGGACAGTGTGTGATCGTTAGCTCTACAAGCCGTGAAGATAAAAATCATCCAATTTTGGAAAAAACGATGATTATCATCTCAGGAGGGGATTAGCAGTCATTGGGCGGGCGACGCTTGTACTACACATTAGGGTAATAGCGGCGTCTGCGGAGGGACTCAGACGCAGCGGCTGACGTCACGGCCACATGTTCTCTTCACGGATCACCTCTCCGTTCACCTGCCTACATATAAATGAGATAATTGGGCTTTCGCTTTGTGTGCAGGAAGCAGGTGTGGCTGAGGTACAGTGCTGCTCTGCTCTGAGACAGAGATGTGCTAACTTCAGTGCTGACGAACAGCTCAATGCAGGTCCGCGTTCCCGGGGGGGAGCGTCTTCATCGATCTTACTGTAGGGCTGATATTGGGGGAGGGTGCACACGTCAGCCTGCTGTAAAACCTACTTTCTGCTTTGCGCGGTGTTAGGTTGCGCTGGTTTAGTGCCTTTGTTCTTGTATTTGGAGGAGGGTGTCATTAATTCAATTACCATCTTCTCTCCCTCATTTTCTCTCCCGATCTCCCTCACCGCATTGCTCTCCTTCTGGACCGTCTGTCTGCGTGCTCCGATCACGCGCTCACCAATCCCCCCCACCCCTTCCACCTGCCGCCTCCTCCGTCTGTGTCTGTCGCTGTGAGACACGGGGACAGATATTATCTGCCTTAACCTCTCCTCTAATCCCCTCACTGTCTGCTTGTTCACCTCTGCTTTATTTGTTTTCATTTTCCTGTCCTTTTATTCGTTTATCCATCCCTCCCTCCCGCATCGGTTCAAGTGTGCTTGGTCATCACGCCATTGATTATTCTTCACTGTACTGTCTCCCTCTCTCTCAAGGGACGGCATATCAGCTGTCAGACCCACCCAAGACACCCACTCACATCCCCCTGTGGCACCGCCCCCTGTGTTTCACATCTCCACCCCACACACCTTCCCGTGTAGAACGAATGCGATAACCATCCATTCACTTCTCCTTTCTTTTCCCGCCTGTGATCGCCTGTACCTTGATAACTCTCCGGGAAAGCTAGAGAGCCACTCTCCTTCGGATTCAGCCAAGGAGCAATGCAATGACAAAGAGGGTGGGGAGACTAACGATCGATATATTAGGCTCCTCCTGATTGGCCGATCCACATTGCCCGGTTGCTTCGCAGCTGCTGATTGGCTGTTGCAGTGTTCCGTGCTCAGCAGCTGCAGCTATGGGGATTTGCCCTTCCTGTCGGCTGCCCTACTTCCTTTTTCAATCATAGAAGCCACGTTTAGATCCTGAACTCTGGGAGCATGCGATCGGCGCGTAGTTTATGGCCTCACTGTTTTGTTTTGAGCTGACTTTGTCTCGCCAGAGTCGTAAAGTGACGTTGCTGTCTCCCATGTGTCCGCGCTCTCTCTCTCTGTGTCCCTTTTCCTGCCTCCTCCCTCTTTTCCCTCCCTCCCTGTATCTCTTAATCAAGACACAGCCTGCCCTTTCCTTTGCATTGCTGCCTGCCTCCCATCTGCACTCCTCCTCTACCTCTCTTGCACTCTCTCACTCGCGCTTTCTGCCATGCGCTTTCAGCCTATCTCTGTTTGTCGCTCACCTCTGTATTCCCCAGTTACAGGTTTGCAACATAAACAGCTGCAGCTTTAGGCATTTCCTTTGTTGTTTTGAACTTTTGTCGCTTGTGTTTTATCGCTTGTAAGTGTTTCGAACGGGACAAGCTGTTTTAACTGAGTTTTGTTGCTTTTGTTTTTGTGTTTTTTCGCAAAGACAGGTCTCCTGCCGCAAAGGACTCTCTTAGAAGTGTGCGAGGACACGTCACAGTGCGATGAAAGGGACGCAGGGAGAGCAGGAGGGATGAGAAAGCGATTCAAGTGAAAGAAGTCTCGCATCACCATAAAGTGCCTCATCTGGATGCTGCGGAAGCCCTTCTCTGTGTCCGCTTCGGAGCGCTCTCTTCTCCGCTGACTTGTGCGCGTGCGCGTGTGTGTGCGCGCTTGGCCTTGACTTGGGCTATATTTCACCCTGACAGTCAATCAACCCATTTGCCTGTTCCTCGATTCCAGCTCCGCCTGCTCGCCATTTCACCTTTTAATACAAGGACGCCAGTCGATTAGTTTCCCTTTTGGGTTCTCAAAGTGTCTCTCCCTTCACTTCTGCAGTCTCTCCATCCCTGGTGACCCAGACATGCGAGTATCTTTAGGGACTGCTGTGCCTATGGCAACAGGGCAGGGGGTTTCAGAAGCCTAAATTTAGAGAAAGTCCATTTTACATCAATGCAAGAGGGTTATTTTAAACCCAGAGCTCCGGAGGGTGAGTCTAGACAGTGGGGCGACCACTGCAGACAAATACAAAGTGCCGCTCTACTCTACTTTTAATGCCTCGTTTTCCTGGACCGCAGCCGAAGATGCAACGCAGCATGTCACATTGACCTACTCCACCTCAGCACGCTCGATTCATCGCTCTCCCTACCTGACTTTAAACTGATCTCATATTCTCGTTTTACTTCCTCACTGGCTGATCAGCAGACTATGCCCCCTTCCTGTCCATAAGAGAGTTTGGTTTTCATTTCTAGACTGGTAGTCTGAGGATCTCCTTGCCACTGTGCTCATATTTTGCAGCTTTTGTGCTTCATCACGCCTGGCTGCCCCACCCCAGCCCTCCGCTCACCCACCGCTCGCCGAGGGACCGCCATGGCCGTCAATGTGACCATGGGTCGCGACACCAAGTGGCTGACACTGGAGGTGTGCAGAGAGTTCCAGCGAGGAACCTGCTCACGTTCGGACACCGAATGCAAGTTCGCTCACCCCTCTCGCACCTGCCACGTGGAGAACGGCCGCGTCATCGCCTGTTTCGACTCACTCAAGGTAACCCGGATGCATGTGCACGCAGACACTTGAGTTTGTTTTACTATTGCACTATGATATATTAACCATTAGAGCAGATTCCAGATTTTCAAATAGTTGTATCTCGGCCAAATATTGTCCTATCCTAACAATAGGATAGCTTATTTATTCAGCTTTCAGATGATGTATGAATCTCAATTTCGAAAAATTGACCCTTATGACTGGTTTTGTGGTCCAGGGTCACATTTGATGTTTTACTACAGATTTCATTATTCACACATGATGTTTGGTCATTTTGTCAGATATCACTAACACCTCCAGGCTGTTTTGCTGAGTAGTAATCTTTCTCAGCCTTAGAATGTAGTTTTTTCTGTCAGATTCAACCTAAGACACTGCAACCTCTGGTCATGGATTGGTCAATTATGATAAAAAAGTACTGTGATGGCACTATGGGACGGTCAACAAATGTTCAAGATGAGGTTAGGGATAGCAAATGTCAAAGTTTACGAATATGTCATTGACAAAAGCATATTGATTGACTACCAATGAATTTTGGCAGTGTTTTATGGTATATCCCAAAAAACATGCTAATGCCATGGGGTTATCTACAAAACCATCCATGGTCATTTTTGGTATTTTTGTGTTTAAATACTACTTTTCTTTGGAAGCATGATAAAGTCATTTTAGAGGGAACAGGAACAGTTCACGTGAAAAAAATTCCATTATCATTAACCCCTCATGTCACTCAACTTTTATGATTTTCTTCTGTGGAACTCAAAAGGAGGAATTTTAAAGAATTTACTGGAATTTACCTTTTTATGCCATGCAGTTATAAAGAATGGGAACTGAAGCTTTGATGCGTCAAAAAGTGACTTCATATATACTACCATTAAAAGTTTGGTCAGTACGTTTTTTTTTTTTTTAAATGATTACTTTTATTTGACAGAGATGCATCAAAAGTTACAGTACATACATTTACAGTATGTTACAAAAGATTTCTGTTCCCAATAAATCTTGTTCTTTTGAACTTTCTATTCTTAAAAAATGCTGAAAAATATATATCATGCAAATATTTAGTAGCACACTTGTTTTCAACATTCATAATGATAAATGTTTATTAAGCAGCAAATCAGCTAATTAGAATGATTTCTGAAGGATCATGTGACACGGAAGTCTGCAGTGATGCTGAAAATTTAGCTTTGCATAGCAGGAATAAATTATATTTTCAAATAGAAAAGTTACTTTAAATTGTAATAATATTCAACTAGATTACTAACAGTATTTTTGATCAAGTAAGTGCAGCTTTGGTGAGCAGTGAGTAGGACCTACGTCAGTCTGATTCATGAATGACCGATTCATTGAAAAGATCTGACTCAACTGACTGATTAATTAATGAATTGAACGTCATTAGTGGATCTAAAAAACTTTAAATTAATTTAGTTTCTTCCACAAAGCCATTGTACGGCATTAGAAAACTTGAAATATGGCACACAAGTCATATTAATTACTTTTATGATGCATTTATGGTGTTTTTATATGCATTTGGAGCTTGCAGTCCTCAGTGCCCATTCATTGTTATTGCTTGAAAAGTAACAGAACATCAGATAACATCTCTTTTGTGAATATTGTGAACAGAGTTTTAAATGAGATTTAAATGAGACCCTCGTTCTAAATGAATTTGAACATCAATGAGTAAATTACGACAGAATTTTCACTTTTGGATGATTTGTCATAAATATAAAGATATTTTTTGTGTTTTATCAATTTATAAGCTCACATTTGTTGTACCTTTTATATTCTGATTTGTCAATGTTAATCTCAGAAAGCAGCAGCACTCTGGACTGTGGCTCAATCAGGGCTCACATTAACCGTGGCGCTGAGCATTGAGCTATGATCACAGCAGATGTGTTTGTGTGTTTATGTCTCTGCGTATGTGTTTATGTGCAGCTAAAGAGCTAGACAAGGTCCTCTCTGTCTGAGTGCAGCAGCTGTCTCCTCCTTTATTGAGCTAGAATGTATTATTTGGCCATTTTTTGGCTGTGTGCAGCATGTGTGGGGGAGCTCAGGAGGAGGAGGAGTGAGAGAGAGAGAGAAAGCTACATGAGGCCTAGCAACAGCGCCGACTGACTGGATACAGTAATCCCTCTGAACCGTGTTACAGTTGTTAGCACTGGGCGCCAGTGACCTGTGTAGATTACTTGCTCATCCAATTGTTTGATTGTTTTTATCAGAACAGTAAACGCAGCCAGCCGTCACTAAATCAAAACTCAGGGTTAGATTGCTGTTATGACTGAGAGAGGGAGGGAGATCAAATAAAGCTAGAGGAAAATAAATGAGAGAAATCCTTTGTGATGTTTGTATGTGTGTGTCTCTGAGGAGTTTTAATGGTGCCTGCTGAAGTGCTAAGGAGAGGTGTGCTTAAAGTCGGCATGAAACGGAAATTATGATCGTCTTTTCTCCTTTATTGTGACAAATCTGAGTGAAAAGGGTTCTTGAACAAGAAAAAGCGTAGGGTGGAACTTGATTTGGTCTGTTCCAATCAAATTGATTGGATTGTTGTTGTTTTCTAACACATGAATAAAATATGATAGGTAGCACTTTATTTTACAATGCTGTTCCGCATGTACATACTGTTTACTTATAGTAATAACTGGGCAATAACTAGGTACTAACCCTGAACCAACCCCTAAACTGAATCTTAACCATTTAGTTACCTTGTATTACACTGTAAGTACACGTAAGTGCACATACTGTAAAAAAAAAGTGCATGAAATGATGTGCATGGATAAATAATTTATATCAAACACTTCAATATTCCATAAAACATAAGAATTGTCCATTTTGTTTTCTTGGTGACTTTAAGTGGCATTTTTTTTAGAAAAAATATTAAGACTTTCACACACAAGAAAAACCGAATGCCCATTTTCCACAAGTTAATATGATTCTTTAGGGTCTCAGTGAAAAGTCTATAACATACTTTGGTTAAAATTTCTCAATGGTAGTGTAAAACAACACCCTTTTTACCTTGTCAAAAACAGCTCTGTTCACAGCGAGCCGTTTCGGTGCATGTCCCTTTAATTGCTAATGAGCAACTGCTCACCCCGCCCCTCTCTTCCATGGGGTGATGAGCAGATCTCTGACTTTTAACAGAGACTGTTAACTTTAGCCCCATTTTGCTGCGGAACTTGCTAACTAGCACATTATTAGGAAAGGCAATTTGCAAAGATTCATGAACAAATAACATGTAAAAGTGAATTCTGCATCCTATGACCCCTTTAACATTTATGTATATCTTGTGTAATATCTCAAGTGTTAAGTGCAGCCCCCTTCAGTCATGATCATACTTTTTTTTTTTTATGTTAAAATATCTTCAACATGTATCTCCAGACCCAATCTCATCCCCCCAGGCCTCTCTTTCCTCTGCGCCCCTCCACAGCTCCACATCTCTGCTAATTTATCGACGTCCCCTAATGGCTGCTACTGTGTACTTCCTTCCACCAGCCCCTGCTCTTGCGTTTTTGCTGTTCATTGACCATTAATCTGGTTTGGTTTGCTTGAAAAAGTATCAGAGATGCATGAATTAGGCAGTCAGATGGTCTATGTAAATGTGATTCGGTTATTGATGTAGTACTGGTGCTGGCACAGGCTTCTGTCTGAAAAACTAAATCAGCAGGTACTGTCATTGGCGGCGTCTAATTCACATGAACATGAGTTGAAAAGCTATTTTTAGGAAATAGGACAACTAAATGGACACTGAGAGACACTGTTCCAGGAAGTACGTTTAATGGGGACATATCATGGAAAACAGGATACTTTTAGCCCTTTTGCAATAACAGAATTGATGTACCATGTGAATATTAAAGTGCACTACTGTTCAAATGTGTGGGGTCGCATTTTAAATGTTTTTGAAAGAAGTCTCTTTATGCTTACCAAAACTGCTTTCATTTTATACAGTAAAAACAGTAATATTTGAAATATTTTTACAACTAAAAGTAACTGCTTTCTATTTGAATATATTTTAAAATGTCATTTATTTCTGTGATGACAAAGCTGAATTCTCAGGATCATAACTCCAGTCTTCAGTGTCACATGATCCTTCAGAGATCATTCTAATATACTGATTTACTGCTCAGTACACATTTCTTATTATATTACTACTGATGCAAACATTTGTAATGCTTAATATTTTTTAATGGGAACAGTGCTACATTTTTTAGGATTCCTTCATGAATAGAAAGTTCAATTTATTTTGAAAATGGAAATTGTTTGTAACAAAATGTCTATACTGTCACGTTTGATCAATTTAATGCATAAATAAAATATTAATTTCTTTTTAAAAAATGATCTCACTGACCCCAAAATTTTGAACAGTTGCATATGTCCATTCACATTAACATCACAAAAACATTAACATCATCATTTCAAATGGCGGGATAGACTCCAGCATCCCTGTGATCCTTTATTTTATAAAATAATAATCCTTTCTAAAACATTTTAAATGATACAACCCTTACATCAGACAAACTCCACTTGTCTAATAAACGCTAAGTATTATTATTAGGGATGCACCGATACCACTTTTTCCAGTACTCGCCCGATACCGATACTTTTATTTTTGGTACTTGCCGATACAGAGTACCGATACCAATATTTTTATTGCATTTGTACATTTTTTAAATATTGGGTACAGAAACCAAAAGAGTATGTATAATGTTAGTTTTTACAAGTTTTTGTTACTTTCACTGTTCATTTTTTGCTCTGTGGTACATCATCTTTAATTTAATAGCATTAGAGCTGCTCCATTGCAGCGGCTTAGTACTGTAATCACGCGCTTTGCTGTAATAATGCAGGGAACCACTCAGAATTGCACTCTCTCTCTCTCTATCTCTCTCTCTCTCTCTCTCTCTCTACCGTTAAGTAATTTGTGCATTGTTTTACTTGTTTTTAACGTATCCGACCGAACTACAAACTTTCCAGTGATGTCTGTGAGAAAGGTATATTCACTCGACAAGCTCGCGCAT